CCCCTCCTTAAGAGAACACTAAAAAGCAGAATGTGGTTGAAAATTAGAAAAGGGATGATTCCTTTTTCTATGTACACAAAACTATCAATGGTATCTTACAATCAGTCACTCCCTGAGCTCAGGCAGGTTTATGAGGGGAGGAAGAAAAAAAAGACATTGGGCCTCCTGGTCTGTTCCTAGTTATTTCCCCTCAAACTGGAAAAGCAAAAAAATCTTAAGTGCAAGGTCGTTTGACCAAGGAGCAATTCAAAGTGCACCCTTTTTTCTCTAATGGTTCAATTTAATATTGTACAGAGCACGCGGGCAGCTCGATGAATCAGCAGCAGGAAGCAAAGTGATCAGGAAGGTTGGAAAGCATCTCCACACACACAAAAAAACCCATAATCCCTTAGAATGGGACATTCTAATAAAAACATTCAGCTTCTCATGAATATAAGAAGACACTTACCAAGGGCATTTTCCCTGAAGACAAGAACTGGGGCAGGAGCAAACATGATGGGAGCATACATCGAAGCCACGATAAAACCGTTTTTCGGCAGGAAACGCTCCATCTGGTGAAAACACAAGGCACAGCAACTCTCAGTTTTACTGACAAAAGCTGCTTATATTATAAACATATTACCATTGCTTAGTAAAATTTACAGTCTTTTTCTTTTTCATAGCTTTACATTAGCTAACTTTCTTGCTTGTGAAACTTATGTGATTTCTAAGGTCGGGCACATGGTGTTGTTGAGCAAATAAAAAATGAATGAAACAGATACAGGTAAAAGAAAACAGGGAGTATTGTCTCACGATACTATGTAGATCTTCAATTATTAAGATGAGATAAATGTGTTGTAGATTTATATTCTGGATCAGTCATTAGATGAATTTGGAATCTAGATCTCTGTGGTATCTTGACTTGCAGTAAGAAGATTAGATTTCTAGAGTTTGCAGAGGAGACATCTCTTTGGTTCTAGATCAAAAGATCGACTTGCAACAACAAAGAATAAAACAAAAAATTCAGACACAATGACTGCAACTGAGAAGAGGATAGTAGATATTATAAAGCTAAACCTGCTCTTATTATCACATTATAGGACAATCACTTGTACAGATGCCCCCCCCCCCCCCAGTGTATTTTATACAATCTATAATGACAATGTGTATGGCGTCCACCTGTCTAAGACAATCACTTTTATACTTGACAATGGGAGACCATCTTTCGACAGTACACCCTATGAGTTTTACAATGAACTTGCTACGTTCTATATTATAACTGAGTGCGGGAAGGAGAATATTCCACCAGTCATGACTGCCACAGTAAGGGTAAAACAATTAAAGGAAACAAATCATGCACCTCTTAGCAGTGTGTGGAGGGTCTTTTATCACTCACACATACAAAATATGCTGCAGCAATTACAAGAAATTTCTGTCTATAGAAAAAAAAAAAAAAAAAAAAAAAAAAACGAGCTGTAGAACACTAACAAGGAGTGTGTGCACCATTAATGAGCGCCTAAGAACCAACCTTGAACTTGTTCTGATAACTGTGCTCAGAGAAGATGGGACTCGCCGAGAACCTACGGAAGCCAACCTGAAACACCATCGGCTCTTTTGACTTGACAGGGGCTGAGAAACCTGGCGCCCGAGCAATTTGCACGTTCAGAAGAGTCATCTTCTGCTCATTGGCAAACAGGCCGTAAAAGGTCACTGGGGTCATTTGATCAAGATCACCTGAGAAAAAGAAAGATGCATTTTCAGAGCTGTAATTACTGGCTCTTTGTTTAAAATCTATTTTCTACATTTAAGAAACAAATGTGCAGACTTTTCAAAAAAGGCAGTAAGTATTATGCTTAGCCCTTTAACTCACTTGCGACTGGGCCCTTTCACCAGTCACAAGCGTTGAAGACTGGCGTTTTGGGGGGTATTTCAATAAATCACCACAACTCTCAGAATTACCCTATTGTAATCATTTTTTGACACAGTAAAGTAACATTCAAGCTTAATCTAATACAAAAAACTAAAGTTGTCTAAGTCTAATACTTTAATTTGTATGATTTTTTAAAAATTGGCATGAATTTGATTTTCGAAAAATTTCCAGAGACGTGACAAGTAGAATGAAATTCACTGCAACAACAAAAATAAAAGTTCAAAGTGTTCTGGTTTGATTTGTATACATGTGCAAGTGTTTGGTGAAAATATAAAAGCTGGTCTGTGCATTGATTCAGACCCATACACTGAATTACATGAGACAGATGTACGGCACGACGTTGTGATTTTGTTGCGCGAAAACAACACCGGTACTAGTGCTAGATCTAGCCCTAGAACTACGACTCAGGCCGTGTTCGGGTACATATCCAGGATCCTAACTATTAGACACATCATATTCTGAGACACTAGAACTAGTAAAACGCACAGAAGTATAGAAAACGGCGAAAGTATGTGATTCTTGTTCATGCGACTTCTTCGACCGTTACTACGACGCGACTGTCGGATTACTATGAGCTGTATAGAAAAAAACAAAGCGCGAGTTCCGGTCTGTTCAACCCCAGTAGGGGTCACTGTCCTTCACCTTCAATAACTTAAAAACTACCGGCCCCAGAGATACGAAACGAAGTCTAAGTAGCTCAGGCTTGGCCAAACAAGGGTACGAGGCGGGTCTCGAGATCCGTGCGTGATTTGTAGAGCGAAAAAAAAATTCCAAAGTTGGTCACGCATGGCTTGTGAGACCCGTCGCGAGCGTCATGGCGGGGGTCACGCAACTGTTGTGTGACCCGTCTGAAGTGAGTTAAGGAAGGCATTTCCAGAGGGCCTGCACAACTGAGCTCTGACATGCTGTCATAAAAAAAAAAACCCTGTATATATGCAGTTTTTTACAATTTTTCTGGAGAGCCAAAAAACTGAATATTGTTAACAAGAACACAAACTCTTCGCAAACATCCGAAGTCCATATTTTTAGGAATACAACTTTGATAACAACTTCCCTATTATCTTTAAAGGAAAGAGTGTTTTATTGGTAACAAAATTCAGTTTTTTAGCTCTCCTGTAACATTAAATAAACTGCTTATACTGTATTTTTAAAAATGAATGCAGCGATGCATTGACTACTTGAAACACCCCCTCCCCACGAACCCTAAGGCACAGAAGGGTAAAAGTACTAACGGTTAGGTGTGTGCTTGGGTCAATTTGGTTAATCTAAGAACTTTTAACTGCTACATATAACTAAGGCACACCTGCCAACCACTCGATGACTAAAAATCGAAGATTTTCTCAGAATCCTATTTAAAAATCGAAGTTTGAGGGAAAATAAGGAAACAATCTGAAAGCAAGTGTACAACAAAATATACGCAAATCAAAATATTTTCACGCCATAACTCGTACAAATATATTGCAAACAAACCTGTTATTTCCACATCACTTACGATAAAAAAATTGTGTACGACAGATGGAAATAGAATTTAAAAATAATATCTCATTTTAACCCTTTCACTGCTGTGTAGACATATATCTCTTAAAGACCGATAATCCGCCGCCAAGTGCTGTGTAAATGCATCTCATATGGCGGCTCAAACCCATGTATTGTTTCGTTGATGTTTCAGCTTCTACTAAGTTTTGAATAGAGAGAGTGGCATACCTTGAAAGCTTATCGTTTTAGCAATGAGATCATATCTACTATTTGACGGGAAGGGTGGGTTTTACAAACACAAAAACAAAGCGAGGTGTGTCGTTTTTCTTGCACACACATCGTGTGAGGCAGTCAGACTCGACGCGTCGACTCAGAACCCCTGTCTCAGTTCTTTACACTTGTTTACATCATTACAGACCTGCCACTCTATGAAACCTCAAAATCAAGATCTCAGGGAGAAAAAATCGGTATTTGGTGAAAAAAATCGGGATCAACAGCAAATCACCAAGGTGACTGCCAAAGCTGACTTAAAAATTTTCCAGGGGTGTCCATAAATTCCTTGACCTATATGCCCTCTGTGTGTCTTTGTTTGTTTGCGTGTGTGTGTGTGTGCGCGTGCGCATGCATACGAGTTATATTATGTTTTTGTAAATCCTGAAACATCGCTTCAAGCACTCCTAGTCCAATTGTCTATACCCCCCCCCCCCCCAATAAGTCCCGAAACACATGAACTTAAGTTGACCCCGTCAATGGACCGTCCCCGACACGCAGAACTCACACAACGATGATATGTCACGTGACGCGAATGCGTGATTGAAATAATTTTACTAACGGGTTCGACTAACTGCACGTTCACACAAAACACTCGGATGAGCGACAGTCGTTCTACTTCTAGAATAACGACGGCGGCCGACCGACCAAATGTACCAACAAATCTCTTATCCCTCATAATGTGTTCTGACTAAAGCAATGACAACGGCCATATGTTAGTCTTGTCAGCGCAGTTACATGTAGTTGCGTAAGGGTTAGAAAGACTGTCGCTCATCCGAGTGTAGATGTGAACGCGCAGTTACCAGACCTCTGACAAAGCTTGTTTTGAAAGTAACAGCGGAACTACGAATATTATCGATTATTAAAAGTCCCAAATTGTAACAGTTACCAGGCTATCATCGAAGAATTCTGAGAGCGGGAAAAGATCACACACAACTTGGGGTGAGTCAACTACTAAATGCAGCATCGATATTTCGGGAAATAGTGCTCTGAGTTCCTACTGACAAAAAAGTTCGACGGATGCTTCCCACGATAAAGGAGAAGGCAGAGTAAGTTTTTAGAAAGATCCGGCACAACAGCAGACTAGGACAAAATAAATCGGGATACCACACGCGATCGAAATCTGGAAAATCGGGAGGACTGAGATTTGGGGAAGAAAATCGGGATATCCCGACTAAATCGGGATGAGTGGCAGGTCTGTCATTATAAGCTTGTTCTACTTCAGTCTTGGCAATGGATAAAATTATTTCTCCATTTGTCTGTCCACTTAAATACATAGTTTGATGAGAATGGTGAGCTTTGTTACCTTATAACAAAGAAATGTGTGTAGTCTCTCTTACACACATTGTGCGAGACAGCCAACACATAGAATCGGAGGGCTTGTTCAGTCATAGTTATTTCAAGCTGTTTACATCGTTATGGCTCGTTCTATAAAGGTCTTGTCAATGGATGATAATTCATCTCATCATTTATCTTTCCACTGGTATAAATTTTACCGATTTGTCTCTTATGATAAGTGAAAAATCGTGGAATAAAGATTGTGACCTGTGACTTCTTGCAAACTGTAGAATTTTCCTTAGCATGTAGGGTGCATAAATAGTAAGCAGCAAATCCAATTCAGGCTCTTCAACTGGCAAAAAATTATATTTTTTTTAATTAAAAAAATCGGGAGGGCTCGAGTTAAATTGGAGCACTTGGCAGGCCTGCTAAGGATGAACCTTCAAAACTATCCAGCACATATATTCTGAACCTCCTTTGCCTCACAGCCATGGCATTTCAACGACATAACACAAACATAATATATTATGTATGAGACTTACCATAAAATGTCCTGGGAACATTTTTAATGTAAACTGTGATGTAGTTTCCAGGCTGTGGATAACAAAACATTATATTACAACCTTGATAAGAAGAGGTCACTGCAATCAAACGAAAGGTGCCACTTTTTAATTGCACTAAAAAAATCCGTTCTTTCCAGTCATTACGCTTTTCCTTTCATGTGAGTAAATATAAGTAGACTTAAAGTAGGTCATGTTATAAAAATAACACTTTGGTGCTTTGATCAGCGCTCACAGCACCAACACAAAACAACATTAGAAAATTGACATTTTTTCTATTATTTGTTTTTTTCATGAAGTTTAGGTTTTCTTTATAATAAAACCCCCCAATAATACATGTATTTGATAATTATCGCCCAAGACAGATGGTAGGTATCAGATATATGACAATATCAGTTAAATCAAACCATCACACTTCTTGTTGCTAGGACATTCAAAATCAACAGAAAAACTAAAGGTGGCTGTCCTGACAACACCAAAACAAAATACCATCTGAAAACAGACAGTAATGAATGAAAACTCCTAAAATACCTCAGCCAGAAGATTGTCATCTTCTTCTTCCCTTTCTTTCATGGAGACCTTCTTGAGGCGTTTGTAGTGGTGCTTGTTCACACGGTAGATGCGGCCATAGTCATAGGCCAGAGACTCTTTGGGGTCCCACACAGTGGTCTGGAAACTGTCCATCCCACGATACCTGAACAGGGCCAGTGACACAGCAAAGATCATGTAACTTGATGTTTTCAAGACTCACCTACATTTAAAATGTGAATACCGAAGCGTTTCTCATAGTCAATTTAAAAGAATCATTTAAAAATCTGACAGTTTATTTGTTTTATCAGCAAAACAGGGGAAAATGATAACTACAACAAAAAGATCCACTTTAGCCAAAATAATGAGTTAAAAACTGACAAAAAACCTGGTTTTTATTGAGAACTGAACAAGTAATGCGCAATTTTAAAAAAGGAAGATACGTTCCTTTTTTAAACAAATAATAGTCATTATTTTCATTAGAAAGCTACATTTGTTCATTAAAACATGTAGGCTAGAGGGCTCCCTCAAACAGGAACATGCCTATACAAGTCAAAGAAGTAAAAAAAAAATATTTTTAAAAAAAAAGGTAAAGTGAAAGCCAAAAACTGAGCAGCATCAGGCCACAGTTGTCTCACCTGGCAAAACGTGTCAGTGCTTTCGTGTCCAGAGGCGTGTCAACTTCATCCGGAAAGTGAACGTTGAGGCGTTCTTCTTTCATCTTTTCATACCTACAGAACAGTATTAGGTCAAAAATTGAAATGACTTTCCTTTTGAAGGTTTGAACTGAATTTTTTCTTTAACAGTCAAAGCCTTATTTAGAGTAACAGCCCATTAAAAACACAACGAAAAGACAAGATTTCTTTTTATGCATAGTTAAACTATGAGCAAATCAGATTGAAAAACATTTAAATAAATCACTTAATAAATGGTACAGCCATTTTAGCTATTTTCATGGCCAACAAATTTAATTTGGTGAAAATTCAAAGGCTCATTTGGTACTAAGACAACTCATAACAGATGTAACTGAAGGAACACTTGTGGGTTCAGAAAGATTTTCGTGATCCCCAAACATTCCATTATGTGTCACGGAAGAAGCTATTAAAATAAACAATACATCCAAATTTCACAAGTAGTTTTCTCTATCATCAATAGAAAAAGCAGCTATTTATATATATACATTTTAAAGACAGAATACTGCAGAACAGATTCCCATTTATAAGGACAGGAAAACCACATCCCAAGAACTGGGCAGAAAAAGCTATCATCACAAAACAATATTAGGAATGGAACCACTCACATTTTCTTCTCTTCATCCATGTCCATCTGTTCATCATAGTTTTCAGCATCATCTGTTTCTGTGGCAGTTCCCTGGTAAGTAGAATGTAGAGCAAGATGTGCATAAAAGTAAATAAAGGGCTCTTAAAAAGAGCATGAGCAAGTACTAAAAGCATATCAAGACATCTGACTGTGAAGGCTGATGTCACTGGAAGTTGTAAAAAACCAACCCACCAACAACCCTGTTTCACTATTATTCAGTTAAGAAAGAGGGTGGCCAACTGCTTTAATTTCATGACAATCAGTTCAACCACAGCCAAACCTCTAAAGACCACCTGATCCAGACAATCATCTTTAAAAACGATCTCTTCCTATTTCTTACCTTGGAGGGTATTTTTATAATGACGCTTGTCGCAGATGTCCATTGTCTAAGACAAACACTGTTCTCTTCGACAATGGGTGGCCAACTTAGACAATTTTGACTGTATCAAATACAAGAACATTAATTTTTGTAACATTCCAAAGTCAACAGCTACTCTCAGTTTTTGCCTACCCAGATGTCTCTGAATCCAATAGATTTGATGGTATTTTCTTTCATATTCATAACCATTGTTATACAGTTGAAATTGCCCAAGAAGACTACTCATTGTCAAGGAGAAAAGTGGTCGTCTTAGGTGTACATCTTGGACAGTGTCATTATAATAGTCTCAATAACGGAAATTTTTTCCAGGATTTTAGGAATTTGTTTAATTATTAAAATGTGTTTTTTAAAGGCTTGTATTCACGGGAGGTGGGTTCCTTCCCCTTGCTTAGGATTTAATAATGGACTTCCCGTCCAGACCCTTAGGGTGTGATGTGTTAACATTAGTAATACATTCAAACATTCAACCGAAGTTGACAAAATCTCCAGAAAACAGAAGCTTTTTTCATTACAGAAAATAACTTTCAATACAACAAGCTCAGCATGAAAGCTTTTGACTGCTTACAAAAAGAAAACTATTCCTGGAAAAACTCCAGGCATTTTCCTTGAAATAATGTAAGTAAATCATGGTGCACCGGCAGTGGAATTTTAGTTGCCGCGGGGGGTTCCCTGCCGAGCCCCTTATCACGTCGGGGTCACGGGGGTCAGCTCCCTGTCGCCGCTCTGTCTGGGCCGACTTAATTTTTGGTACTTTTCAACGTACAATTTAAGGTGTATCCTTGTATTTATGGTAATTCTCATTTAGTGCACCGAAAGCATGCATTTCTGCTCTTGAGACTCAAAAAAGAATGGACGTTGTAACTTGTCAGGTTATTTCGTTAGATGCGCTGGAGTCGGCAAAGCTAAATTGTAACTTTTTTTGGACTAGCGTGAATCAAAAAAAATCAAATATAAAATATGCCTCGTCAAAATCTGTCGAACTTTTGGAACATGAACGACATAGCATTGGTGCAGATACTCAGAAAAGATGGTATCTGCGCATATAATAGAAAACTGTAATTTTGCAACTTTATCCATCGGGCACACAATTCGCTATGAAGTAATACCTCCAAATACAACTTTATATGTCTAATATAATCGTGAATGTTCGCATATTTTCTCGAAAGTTTATAAAAGTCACCATGAAGTTTCTCTATGAAAATTACAAATCGATTTTAGTGCTAGAATACGTCTTCAATGTATATCTAATACACGAACAGCATCTGTTACACTCCAGAAATTCCTTACTTTTCTTAAAACGCTAAGTCTAGGTTTTGTAAGTTGACTGAATAATAGGGATGACTTCTCGTAATTGGGTTATAAGAATAATTTCTAGCTTTCCAGGGACACTGAATTAGCACCAGACTTTTCCAGCTTTATTTTTCGTTTCTATGACAATTTGCAATAACTGACAATGTGACTGATTTCTTTACATTCATAATTGTGCCCGCGCATATTTCCGACACAAAAACTAAGAATGAATGTGTTAGCTGTCATTATTTTTATTCCATACAAGAAGTTTATCTCTACCCATGTATTTACATGGTTTTGTGGGTTTTTTAATCGCATAGATTCTATATTATATCTTTTTAGTTGTATGCAGGCTGCCACAGACACAGCATGATTCATGAGCAAATGCAGAGTAACTTTCTCTTGTTTAATAGTAAAATAAGAGCTAACGCTGATCGTCTTTAGTTAAAAAATGCAGATGTGCATCTTTTTTCTCTTATAACTTGACTATTTCTACTCGCGCAGATTTAAGATTTCTCATGGTAAAAGACATGATATTCGTAGTCAGTTTAACACAGATTTTGGAGAGATCTGTCGTGCCTTTTTAAAATTACCAATCATTTATTCATAAGTTTGTAACTAAAATAGGACAAATTGGGTACTCTACAAACACTTGTCTAGAACAAAAACTAAGGCACAGAAATTAACCATTCTAACGCAGAATAAATCTCAAGACATTGCACTTTTAGTACATCCGCGTAATGGTTTGCTATGTGGGATGGGGAAGAAGTTATATTGTTTTAAACATAGTCAAAAATGCGAACTTTTGACAAAGTCGCTTCAGGGCTCATTAACCCTGTGACCCTGAGCCGGGGAGCTCCGGCGGGCCGCTGAGTCACGTGAACTAAAAGTAACAGAATTGGGCGAAAGTGACGCCGCAAAATAAATATAATGAAGTGTTCAAATACATATGAGTGACAAACTTACAGTGTCAGCATCGTCAGCCTCCTCTTCATCTTCCTCATTGTCAGAATCTTCTCCATCTTCCATGCCTTCATCCTCCATGTCTTCATCAGCATCCTCATCATCAGAATCATCCTTTATACCATTCATGGCACAAAAATATGAAAAAAAAAAAGCAAGACATGAACTCATAAAGTAATGGGAAGAACATTTGGATATATATGCAAAAACTCAAATCTCACAAGCATAAGCCTGAAAAGAGAATATATGACCAATAGTTTATCTTTACAAAAAGACAATCCCACAGAACATTGGCACAACACACTGTTTTAACTTTAAGCTATGTGTAGACCTACAGAAATGGGTTCACAAAATGAGAAGCCCTGGGAGCATTGATCTGTGTGATCCATATATTGGAAAGGGAAGCATTTTGGTGGCTAGAGTATGGTTCCAGCCTTGTGTCAAATTATAGGTGTGCAGTTATAGACATTTAGAAAAAGCTTGCTGCGATCATTGTAAGTGCGCCGACATAGACGGTGAACATTGGCTCATCTATGAGAGGCACTTTATTTCTTCAATATCAACCTGCTGGAATCAAATAGGCAACCCCCCCCCCCCATTCTTTAGTTTTTAAACTAAATGGATTAAAACTATAAGTTTATGAGGTTAAAGACACACACAGCCTTGTATCATGTTAATATATATTATATTTACCTCATCTTCCGGTAAATCCAAAATCCAGTTACTCTGATAGTCTGACACCCCCTTCAAATTCTTCTGCTTCACAGCTGCTCATGTGGGAAGGAAAAAAAAAAAACAACTTGAAAAAGAGCCATCAGGACGAGCAAAATCAGTGATGAAATAGCACAGTCATCATTTTATGTCTCGATTGCAAATAAATTTTGACTGTTACATTAACAAGTATATGTTGAAAATAAGAAAAGAGTTGGATTTTAAAAAAAGGACAGAGAGTGCCACTGTAGAAATATTTTTGGTGAGTTAGTAGTTTTTCAGAAACAAACACACAATTTGGAGTTTGGTAAATACTTGTAAAACCTATAACAGGTAACTTTTACTTTTAAGATTATAGTGAGCGGTATGAGCATAAGCCACTTCAACAAAAAGCCTGTAACTTACGGCACTAAAAGCAAAATACATATCAAACACGAAATAGTCTGTCATACGAGGAACACTTACAGCTTTGAGCACTCATATATTTTTAAGCAATTATAGATTATATCTAGTTATCAACATTTAGAATAAAGTGCTTAATGCACTTCACTAACATGACATTCCTGGACTTCCAGACATTTCACGAAAGAAAAACAGGCCTTCCGTCTAGTGGACATTTTTTGGGGCCCCATGTCCTATTTCTATAGGCGCTTAAGTGTTAGTTTTAATAAATTACAAGTCTTTAATATATTGAATGAGGTTGTTGGGCATTGCTTTTGTGAAATATCACTTAATAGTTGTTGATACCGATATTGCCGTAATTGCCACTCTTAAAGATAGATGCCCGCCCCCCCCTCCCCCAATATGACATCAGAGCAAGCCACACTTCTCCCTCCCAGACCTAACATTGACAACACACTCTATGGAACATTACAGCAAATCTGCACTTACATGGCATTAAACAGAAGGCAAGGGCCCAGCTGTTGCTGGATTGATAACAACAACAAATAGATGGCAATATCAGACCTGCCACTCTATGAAACCTCAAAATCAGGATATTAGGGAGAAAAAAATCGGGATCAACAGCAAATCACCACGGTGACTGCCAAAGCTGACTTAATATTACCCCAGGGGTGTCCATAAATTACTTGGCCTATATACACTTTGAGTGTCTTTGTTTGCGTGCGCGCACACGCGCGCGCGCGCGTGTGTGTGTGTGCGCGTGCGTGCGTTCGAGTTATTATTTTTTGTAAATCCTGAAGCATCACTTCAAGCACCCCCAGTCCAAGTGTCTATACCCCCCCCACCCCACCAAGAAGTCCCGAAATACATGAACTTAAGTTGACCCCATCAATGGACGGCCCCCGACACGCAGAACTCACACGGCGATATGTCACGTGACGCGAATGCGCGATTAAAACAATTTTACTAACGGTTCCGACTAACTGCGCGTTCACACAAAACACACGGATGAGCGACAGTCGTTCTACTTCTAGATCTAGTACCCTAGGATAACGACGGCGGCCGACCAACCAATTGTACCAACAAATCTCTTATCCCTCATAATGCGTTCAGACTAAAGCAACGACAACGGCCGTATGTTAGTCTTGTCAGCGCGGTTACATGTAGTTGTGTGAGGGTTAGAAAGACTGTTGCTAGTCCGAGTGTTTGGTGTGAACGCACAGTTACCAGACCCCGGACAAGGCTTATTTTGAAAGTAACAGCGGAACTACGAATATTATCGATTATTTGTATGTCCCAAATTGGAACAGTTACCAGGCTATCAGCGGAGAATTCTGAGTGCGGGCAAAGATCACACACAACTTGGGGCAAGTCAACTACTAAATGCGGCATCGATATTTCGGGAAATAGTGCTCGAGTTCCTACTGACAAAAAGTTAAACGGGTGCTTCCCGCGATAAAGGAGAAGGCAGAGCAAGTTTTTAGAAAAATACGGCAGAACAGCAGACTGGGAAGAAAAAATCGGGATGCTTGAGATTTGGGGAAAAAAATCGGGATATCCCAACTAAATCGGGATGAGTGGCAGGTCTGCAACATCTACCCAGAATAATAAATATAAAGATGATGATGATGAAATCATAAAGTGGACTCACGTTTGTCCTCATTCAGTTCTTCAGCTGTGGGCCACGTCTGCTCCTGATCCATGTCGTCTGGTATAACTTCTGACTGAAGAGACTCAGGCTGTGTGGCACGTGCCAGACACACACCTTGTGACTGCAGCTGGGGAAAGAAAACTTTTATGAATTAAAGGTTATCACAGGTCAGCACCGTGACTGCAACAATCAGGTCAGTGCCATAGCAGCGATGAAAAGAAATAGTTTTGTTTTAGTGAGGGTTTTATGACACTTGCCAAAGAAATGGGTTGTATAAAAGCCAAAGATGAAAGGCGTTGCTTAAGAGTAACATGCAAAGAAAAGATGGAGGAGAGATAAGGGTAATAGAAGTTTGATAAAAAAGGTGTTAGACTGCACATGAATCGGCCAACCATGTGTGTTTATAAGACCACAGTATCATGGATAAATATAAGACACACGCAAAGTAAAAAAAAAATTAAAAAATCCTGATTTTTATGACCAAAGAGGTCAGACCATGTACTTGGCCATTATATTATATGAATGACTTATACCAAAATTACCTCCGCCATCTCTGTGTCACCAGCCACTGCATTCTTCTGTCGCCGGTCCTTGTTACCCTTGACAACCAAAGGGTAAGGGTCATCTAGCTGGTCAATCTGCGACATCTGAAAGTCACCCACTCCAGGAATGTGGACTAGTTGGTTCACATTTAGGTCTTGTCCCCTCAGGAAGCCAGTCACCTTCAAAGTACCTTTATCAACGTCAACCTTACAGAGAGAAACACAAGATAATAAAAATACCAAAAATAACCACAAAACACCAACAGGAAAGATTAAAACAGTTTGCGATAGGGCTAGCATAAACAACGAAATAATTTTTTAAAAGCTACAATTACAAGGGGTATCAACAGCCATAATTGAAATTTCATTTTTTCGGTCTCAAGCAATTAAAAAGTAACATACACTGTACAAACAGAGGGGGAGAGGAAGAGTGGGTGAAAGGGAGGGAGAGGGAGAGGGAGAGAGTGAGAGAGAGAGAGAGAGAGAGAGAGAGAGAGAG